CGTAGGGCCTTGCCTGCAGGCCTCTGACCATACGAGTGGGCCTCCTGTGAACCCTCTCAAAATTCTCCGCATTCTTCTTGAAGTGCGGTGCCCAAAAGTGGATTCAGTACTCCAACTGTGGCCTGAGCAGTGCTGCATAGAGGGGAAACATCACCTTCCTGGACTTGTTTGTCATGCATCTGTTAATGCATGATAAAGTGTGATTAGCCTTGTTGATCGCTTTGTCACATTGACAACTCATGTTCATCTTGGAGTCAACTATGACTCCAAGATCCTTTTGACTGCTGCACTGCTGAGAAGGTCATCCCCCAGCCTGTAAGTGTGCTGGTGGGTTTTTTTTGCCTATGTGCAGCACTTTTCACTTGTCTTTGTTGAACTGCATCCTATTTCATTCTACCCATTTTTCCAACCTGTCCAGATCCACCTGGATCCATTCCCTACCTTCTGGTGTGTTAACTTTGCCCCATAATTTGGTATCATCTGCAGACTTGGACAGGGTGCTTTCCATGCCCTCATCCAAGTCATCGATGGAGACATTGAATAGCACCAGTCCAAGGACTCAGCCTTGCGGGACTCTACTTCTCCCATCTTTCCATGTTGATATTGACCCATCCACCACCACTCTCTGGGTGCAACCCCTAAGCCAATTTGCCACCCACCTGACTGTAATCATCTGTATGCCTGTCAGTTTATTCAGAATGAGATACTGTATCAAAGGCCTTCTTAAAGTCTAGGTAGATGACATCTACCTTAACTCCTGCATCTAAACATTTTGTGACCTGGTCATAAAAAGAAACAAGGTTACTCAGGCAGGATCTACCCATAGTGCATCCATGCTGATTTCCTTTCAGCAATATTTCCCCTGCTGGGCTCCCACAAATGTGATCCTTATTGATTTTTTGCAGCGTTTTCCCAAGGATAGAAGTGAGACTAAATAGCCTATAGCTTCCTGGTTCCTCCTTCCTCCCCTTCTTGAAAATAGGGACCACGTTGGCCCTTTTCCAGTCCTCTGGGACATGACTAGAGCACAGTGAGTGCTTGAACAGCCATGCCAGTGGCTCTGCTGTGCCATGGCCAATTCCTTAAGCACCCTTGGAAGAAGTTCATCCAGGCCTGGTGATTTGAACACACCCAGCCCCTCCATGTGCCCCTTCACTAAGTCTGCGCTAACAGTTGATGGGCTGGTGTCCGTCCCTCCTGTCTGTCTATGATCCATCTGGGAGATTTGCTGATGTGGCAGCAGCTTGTCATGATCACAAGCCATCAGCCAGCTGTCCTGCCCATGTCCACCCAGCGGGCCCTGTGCCCATCAAGTGTGTTTCTGTTGGACACCTGCATACTGTGCATGTGTCTTGGCTGCCTGGGGGATATATATGTTTCCTGTATGTCTGGGGTTTTTGTGTGTGTGTGTGTGTGTGGCATGCACATGCCACACAGCCCAGGCATCTGGGGCATGACTAGGCCACAGACTTTCACACAGCCAATGAGGACAATGACTACCTCTTGCACAACTCTCCATTTCCTGGGACGATGGAGAAGGGGGCACTGAGCTCCCAGGGTCCCCAATTTCATCATTGGTGCCATCATCCAAATTCTGCTGCACTTGAAATCAAGGGAAAATTACCCTAATTTCAGATTTAATTGTTACTACACTTCAACAATTTGCATGTGACTGAAGGACAATGTGATAAACTTAAAAAAACCCTCCCCCCAGAGTTCACTTCACTATCTATTAGGTGATTAAAGAAAACACAATGGGAGAGTAATTGCTCCGAGTGCAATGCCTTTTAAAAGCTTTGAACAATTTCTTGGTAAAGTGCATATTGTCTCTGGCCCCTGCGGATTGTGGCTCCACTGCCTGTCTGCAAACAAATAATGTCTCTGATTGGCTGGTGATGTTAGGGCACCAGCTAATTAAGCAATTAAAAAAGAACTGATGGAATACTGACACACTATGAAGTACCGTGTGTGTGTGTGTTTTAAGGGTTGCTCTAAGAAGGAAATACTACATTAAAGCTAGCAAGACCACTGGAAATTACTTTTTATATAGCCAGGAAGAGTAACAACTGTAAAATGATACCTAATAAAACAAATAGTGAGAGAGCTTGAGGAAAAAAAAGAGTTCCCAAAGCTAGCTACCCTACATATATATCTATAGGACTCCCAGCAGCATACTTCAAACTCTGTAACAGATGGTCTGAACCAGCTTTTTATCATGTGCACATGGTTCCCGTTAGTTGAATGACCAGAATCATTATAAATTGGCTTTAAGACATGAGAACAGAGAAACAGTCTCTGTTTCTTTATGGGCTGTTGTATGCATCCAAGTTTTCTGGGACTTTGTGTCTGTGAGCTGGACTCATGGGGCACTTATAGACAGACCAGACTGTATTCAGCAGCCTCCACACCCTGTGTATTCCACATCCTCACACTTTAGAATGGCAACAGGGGCACTCTAACCGAAGCCTGTCAAATGAACTTTAGTTAAAGCGCCCGCCTCCGCCCCCCCCATTTTGACGCACAGGACACTGAATACACATGATGCTGTGGGCGCTCTACTTAAACCTCCTGATCCCTGCTCCTCTTGAATCCTGGAGCATGTGTAAGGATGCCCTGGGTTTCTGGTACTGCATTCTGTATTGAGCACAGGCAGTGTAAGTGCTTTTTGCAATCTACATTTTACACGTGCTTTCAGTTTCCCCAAACAAGTTGGAAATTAATGATGCTACATATTAGTATGCATAGAGGTGCTGATGTATATTTTGGGTGTAGATTCATAGGTGCTAGGGTCAGAAGGGACCTCAACAGATCATCGAGGTCCCTTGTTCAAATACGTTTTTTACTTCCATTAAGGAACTTGCCCATTGTCGGAAATCAGTGCAGATGAGTCGATTCTTAAGACAGGTTAATTGTGAACAGGGGCAAAATAGCAGCAGACCCACATTCAACACTTGCTCACCTGTACTCATGACTATGCAATAAAAGAAATTCAGCAATAAGCTAAAGTTTTCTTTGTGTGGATGGGTCTAGGCCAGGGGTGGGCAAAATATGGCCCACAGGCTGGATCCGGCCTGCCAGGCCATTCTATCTGGCTGGCAGGATGCCTAAACAATTTAGAAAATTAATATTTATCTGCCCCTGGCTGCCTGTCAAAGATGACAGGAGACAGGGGCAGTAGGACCAAGGGGGAGCCTCTGTCAGGATCAAGTGGCTGGAGAAGCAAGTCTAGCCTGGCTCTGCCCCCCTCCCCCCCAGCCCCAGCTTGAAGCCTGGAGGCTTCTGGCCTGGGGCTGTTCCTGCCTCCCTGCTCCAAGGGAAATACAGATAAGAAGGCAGGAGTGGGAGGGTGGTGGGAAAGGATTGCAGACGATCACCCCAGTCCTCACACCTGGCTGGGCTGGCTCCTGCGGTCCCAGTACTGCAGCTGGGAACTGAGTGGTGTGTGTGGGGGGGGAAGCGAGCAGCACATGGATCTGCCATTTTTACAGGGCTCTATGTGCCCTGACTGTCTGTTCAGTTACAGTTGTAGAGCACTTTCTGCACGCTTATCGCACAAGAAGTGTAACTTCTGTATCTGCCCTAATTCATTATTTTGCAATGTGTAGCATAGACCCAAGAAATGGCTAGAGGGTGAGATGTGGAAATGTCAGTTATTGCTTTTTAAATCTGAATAGCACATTTGGTTGTTCTCTTTTTCTGATATGAATTTACCACCCTAGTGTAAAATATTCATGACTCAGGTTTATACTCTCACATTGTCATTAGTTCATTGCAGGTTAGGGTTAAGTGATATTCATATTTCCAGACTGACATACTCTGTACTGTCTAGTTCGTTCCACCTTCCCTAATATCTGACTTGTTTATCTTTTCAGCAGTTGCAGGGACAGTGGGATTGATTTGGTGGCTTGTGTGAAAGAAGGAAAGCACATAGTTATCACTGAGCAGTAAGTACCTTTTTCTTTATTTTCTTAGCAACCAGCAATAAGTCTTGCTTCTAGTTTTGAAGTGAGTAGAAATGAACAGGGCAAGCAGAGAGGTTGATACACAACTTTGGTTATGTTCTGCTATAGTACTGGAAGTACTCCTGTCATTTCAGTCACCTTGCTTACATACATGCATATGTGGTCTAAACTGCTTCTAAACTGAAGTACTCCAAAAAATGTCAAGGGATCAGTTTGATGGTAATCAGGGATCTGGATGTAAGCACTGTAGAGAAACATACATTAATTACATTATTGAAGTGTCTCAAAATTGGAGAGTACATTAACTTACTGTTAAATTAACAGTTGATTTGGATACCAAGAAGCTTTAAATACATAATATCCAAGCGTCTAAAATTAGAGGAACCAGTGCATGCATGTACACAAAACCATACTCCAGAAAGTAGGAGCTAATTAAATAAAGCCAAGCTTGTCAGTTGTATTTCCATGCTACTAAAAATGCAATTCTGTTTTATGTTATGTATCAGGGGTTTTCATCCTTTTTTGTGCGGTGTCCCCCTGGCAGCCAGCTGGTGGCGGGGGGGGGGGTAGAGAAGGGGTAGCAATAGCCGGTTGCAGCACAGTGGGAGGCAGGCTGGTGGTGCCCGCACAGAGTGGTGGCGCGGGATGGTGGATGGCATTGGTAGCTGCTGCATGTAGGCTTCTCCCTCCACGTCCAGCTGGCCAAGTGGTGCCTGTTTGGCCCACATAGAGGCGCTGCTGCCCTCATCCTGCCCCGGCCCTGCTCCTGTGAGGCGGCAGCATAGGGTGGCGGTGCTCTGTCCCTACCTGCCCATGCATGTCCCCTGGGTCCTTTCAAAGTACCCCCGGGTGTGTACCCCCAGTTAACAACCCATTATAAATGACTGTCAATATTGTTTGTAGCCTGCTTTACTGTTAATTTAAACTTTGCTACAATCATGTCAGGTTAAAATTGCCATTTCAAATTGTAAGTGGTAAATGGTTTCTATTTAATCCCTAATGGTTTATATTTAATCCCTAAAATACCTCTGCATTGGCATACAGTATGTAATATTTAAAGCAATAGGGCCTGGTGGACACTATTTGGTAAGAAGACTAATGGACTATACTTGGACACACAAAAATTTAGAATTGTTTGCTGTTTTATGATGTACATCAACTGCTCTTTGAAAAAATTTTAGAGATGTTTGTTCTAATTCCTTGTCTCCTAGTTGTCAAAATTTTATAAACCTCCCTCCCCCACGGTTTAAGGGCTCAGTTTAATGGTGACATTCATGAATTTCTGCCTGAGTTGCTAATGCATTAAAAATTACCATGGTTTTGTAGACTTCATGATGCAGTTTCAAATAATGAAGGGCTAGATTGTGCATTTCACTTATCCAGAATGTCAGGGATGTTGGAAGAGAGTAAGGTCTGTATGGCCACTGCCTATCATGTAAGAAATAATTGCAGCCTCTGTGCTTGTGAAAGCACATTTCTTGTTCCATATGCTTCCTAGGAGCAACTCAGCAGACAGCTTGGGAAGGTGGCACAGAAATTCCAGTACCAGTTTCCACCCTCCCATACTATAGGAGGGTATAATACTCTTTTTAAAAGCGTGTGGTAAATTGCTCTACATTGCCATGTACATCTCTGGAGAAGCAATATCTCCAGTCCTCCCCATTCCACCTCAGTTATTATATACCTCCACATCATGTCTAATTATGGATTCTGTGCTAAATGCCCCAAATAACACTCAGTTAAACATTGATGCTGATGTAACACTGTAATGGAAATGTAAGAAGATAAAGTAAGAGTGGTGACATCTAGTGAATTGGTAGGAAATACAGGGTGATAGGGAAAAATAACATTTTCTTCAGTAAATGGGGAAATCATCCAAATATTAGCAAGATAATGTGGTTACCCATTTCCTATAAGTAACAAAATTAGGGTTGGGTATTTGTCTGGTCAAGTAAAGTTCAGGAAAGTGCCTAGTCAAGTATCAGTCAAGTTTTTAAAAAAAAATGCTGGTAGGTTCAAATAATGCACAGAAAAAGCATATTTTTCCATTAAGTGTCATAAAACAAAAATAATATTTCTATCAAGAAAACTAAAAAAATGTGGGTTTTTTGGTAATATTACTATAATCTTTGATCGCTCAAAAATAAGCAATCAATTGACAATATTTGACCTCTTGCCAAGCCTAAACAAAATAGATATTTGAAGTGAAAAATTATCTGCAAACCAACTGCCATGGGACAGGGGAGTGTGTTGCTACATTGTCTCATTAGAAATGAGTACCCGTGTTTGTGGTTGAGAAGAACAACCATAGACTTATGAGAACAAGGCAAGTAAAAAGACAAACAACCCTCCCCCGCCAACAAACCTTTTTATTAACCTGGGGGAAAGGTAGATCAAGAAGATATGACCTGCTGCTATTTGTTTAGAAGAACTTTGAGGGAAAACAGATGGCTTATAGACTTGTTAGAGAGAGACAGGTTTTAAAAACAAACAAAGAAAACAGCACAGATCTAGCATAATCAGTGGAAACCTAAAATTACTGCCACCTGATGATTTTTCCTCAACTTGTATGTAATGAGCAGCATAAAGGTGTGCACACAAAAAAGATTAACACAGTTGATCCTTGCTGTCTGCTTGGTCAGCATTTTATCAGAGAAGCCAAGGCTTTGTGTAGGCCTGAGAAATTAATTTCACTGTAACTCCCAGAACAATGTCCTCCTAGGCTATCTTCACAATGCTTTTGGGTATTGTCCACATTAGGTGGGAAGTGTGAGGGGAAAATTGTCCTGGCTCTGCCACTAGAGGTCTTCTTTTTTTTCCTGTTCATATATGGGGGTTTCCAGCCTGAAAAGCTATCAATCCAACATCTTTCTTAAGTCTGTGGGGGAAAACTGGGAAGAAATATGAACGTTGGGGTAGTGATCTACATATTTGCATAGAGTATGGGGTGTTAGTGTCACTAATATGCTTCCACTATTTTTTTTTTTTTCATTTTAGGAAATATTTGGTGAGTAGGTGCAAGCTATGGCCATTATGTATTTGTTGTTTTCTAATTGTCATTCATTCATTTTGTTTATTTCAGATAATCATATTAATCTGTATCAGAGGCACCGATTATGTAATATGAAGTATATGATTATTCTGGGTGTCAGGTAGCCACCAGGTATGGGCATGTGCCCTTACATCTGACTGACATTCACCGGTCTTCTCCGGGGTGCCACGACCCTAGGTGGGGCTCTTACTCTCACTGTCTTCCCACTTGCCACGACTCTGTTTTAATTTTTTTGGAGATGTTAATGAAAGGAAGGTGTGGTGACTACCCTGCCTCCACCACAGCTCATCGTTGGTTCCTGTCCCAACCTCTGAATCAATGAAAATGGGGGGATGGGGAGGGGGATGGCGAAATGACCAGAGGGACAAGATTCTTTCCTTTTTTTTCCTCTCTCTTTTTATTGTTATGATGCCCGTTGAATTTCTTCTCCAGGGGTCAAGTCCTGGACGCCTCTTGGATTTATCCATTGCTTCTCTGGCGTCAATTCTCCATGCCTGCTGGCGAACAGGGACTCCCCTCTTTTTTTTCTCTGGGCTGATTGCGGCTGTGCCTGGCTTAATTGGCGACCCATGACCATTAATAAGCTATTATAAACAAACAAAAAACCGGTAGGACTTGGGAGAATGTTGCCTTCTCCCCCCCTCTCCCTACTAGATTGCAGTTTCCTACCTCCCCAACGCCTGAGCCATGACGCCCCCTGGGGAACGGGGTTCTGTTTTTTTTTTTGTTTGTTTGTTTTTTACAGTCTCTTTCTCCTTTCTCTTTCCTCTTCTTATCACAGCCATGCCCGACTTAATTGGCGGCCCATGGCGATTAATCAGTACTTCCAAAATAAATGGATAAGCAGCTTGGGAGCATCCGCCCCTTCTATCTCACTCTCTTTTCTCTCCCTTTGCTTTTCTTCTTCTTCTCCTTCCTTTCTCCTTCACCCCTTTAGCGGGGGCTCCTCCGATCCTCCAAGACCCAAGCAGGCTCTTACCCTGCTCCTGGGGCGTCAGTCTCAGGTTGAGCATTTCCAGCCTCAATCTTTACTGCAGTCTTCCGTTTGCACTTTCCGTGGCCCTGTGGTTCTGCCCACGGGCCCCAGATATTGCCCCAGCCACGGATTTGTGCCAGTCTGCCTCACCAGAGTCAAGACCTTGACCAGGAGTTCACCAGGGAATTGGCTGGGGCTGCACAATCCCAGTATGTGGTTGTCGTGGGAGACTTTAACTACCTAGACATCTTGTGGGTGGAGCGCTCAGCCAAATCCGAGCAGTCGCAAAGCTTTCTCTCATGTGTGGATGACCTCTATCTGACGCAGGAAGCCTACGGGCCAACAAGAGGTTAAGCCAAGGTGATAAAGCTGGGCTGGGGTAAACTGGGAGCTGCCGCCGTAGTGTGGAGGTTCTATTCTGGTTGGGCCCATGCTCCTGGCTGAGGGGACATCTTGGGTGAGTATCCTGGGTGAGTATCCTTCGGTCCCTCACACTAGGGCATAGATATTGCTATCTATAGGATATCTGTTTAACTCGTTATACCCATGGTGAAAGTCAAGTGAATTTATGGCATCTTGAAAATGTTTCAGTTATGATATGGGCAGCATTTCAGAGAACAGAAATATCTTTCAGCCCTATAAAAGTGTGCTTATGTATTGCAGTTAACAACCTAACATTCCTCAAAGTTAGTGGGTGCTAAAATTTAGCATACGTTGGTAGCAGTGGCATGTTCAGGCTTAATACCCTCTGTAATGTGCACAGCTCTGAGTTGCTGCCAGAGGACTGGGAACTGGAAGCAGGGGTATGGCTAGAAACTCACAAGTCTGCTCTGTGCCTGCCCCACGAGCACAACCCCCCTTTGCCTCCCAACATAGCACAGTACATACTTCCCCAGTACACACACTGCCAGCATAACACAGCGCGCTCGCTCGCTTGCTCACTCACTCTCCCCA